AGGGAATGGTAAACTACTTCTGGGTTTTCTAGAATTACTCTAGAACACTGGAAAACCCTGACAAGGATAACTGACTTGATAGCACATGATTATTATCATCATCTTATTGTAACTTAGCCAAACTGTTGATTACATATCCTTCCTCAATGTTCTTTGTTTCTTTTTCCTACCTCCTTCTGTTGTTTTCCTCTCTCTACTTTAGGTTGTATGCCCCCTGAAGAAAAGATCTTGCTATACCTCTTCTTTGTAACAGTTTATGAACCTGATGGGGCTAGATGATGATGAAATGTTATCAGCAACAATCTTTAAGATAACTGAATTCCAGAAATTCTCCAACAGAGGTCCAAGTTCGTAAAATAACTTATATTCTTATCTCACTCTCTTTCATGAGTAGCTTGACAAATTCTATAGTTTGGCTGCCATATTTTTAGCTACACTTGCAGTCATATCTTATCTGACACTACTTGCTTTCTTCCCCATATCACTATTTTGTTTCTCACATTGAAAAATGTGTGGCACTAATCCGTGTCTCTACTATAATGTTCAAATCAATTTTGTGCACCTTGTAGATTCGTAACTTTTTTAATGCTTCTGCTATTTCCTTCCAATGAAGATCCAACATAAGCCACAGTAATTGTTGCATTATGTGAATCACAACCTGTGTCCCGCTTAAGTGTAGTAATTGCCTCTCTTCCTGTTGGTTCCAGCTCCAAGGAAGTCATTTATTGCGTCTTTAAATAAAATGCCCGTGTAATGGTACAAGGTGACATTGCACCAGCCAAAATGAACATACGTTTTAAAAAGTGTCCATTATTATGTTTATCGCACCTGTACCTTCTAAAAGTAGAAAAGTGAGAAATTGAACTGCTCAGTGTGACACACACGACTGGTTCAAATGCATCTTTTAAGCACAATTAAGCATGGTGGATTTGATTTAGATTAAATTTAAATCAAACTGATTTAAATCATGATTTGAATTTTAAAAATTAATTTTTTCACCATTTAAATTTTTAAAAAATCATTTTAAAAATTAAATTGTGATCTATATTGTGCTTTAAATCAATTAATTTTTTTTAAATCACTGGTTTTTATCCACTCTGCAATTAAGAGACTGGGATTGGGCTGCAGGACTCTGACCTAAAGCAAGGCTTCCATTTTAATTATATAAAGCAAAGCGTGCTGCTTATATACCGCCCCATAGCGCTTCAAGCACTCTCTGGGCGGATTACAATTTAATTATGCAGGCTACACATTGCCCCCCCTCCAGCGAGCTGGGTGCTCATTTTACCGACCTCAGAAGGATAGAAGGCTGAGTCAACCTTGAGCCGGCTACCTGGGATTTGGACCCCAGGTCGTGAGCACAGTTTTGGCTGCAGTACAGCGATGTAACCACTGCACCACGAGGCTCTTATAAATCTTATATAAAGATTCTAACAGCACCAATATGAGCTATTATAAAATGTAACCTTGTTCTTTGATCTGCATTCATCTCATTTTGTAATTCCTGACAAACTCTGTCCCAAGCCAAAGCAGCATGAAATAACTTACTGCACTTAGGATAATTTTCATTCAAAGAAAATATTCACATGCTATTGTGTATATAAAATACAAAGGATATTCTTTTCTTCTAATCTTCTGATACATGACTATAATTTTATAAAAGCACTGTCAATTGCACAGTAAATTTACTAATCCTCTTAGGAACCTGGAGTAAATATGTTCTGAAATGATTATTAAGAACACTGAACTTTACTATTTCCAAATATGGCTTTGCTATTTTACTAAATACTCAGGCATAAATGCATAAATATATAAATAACATTTTTAGGATTTCTATTAAACCTTTTCTTTTTTTAAAAAATGGGATTTTCCCCTTCATTTCTTAAAGCTTATAAATTATTATTTTAAAAACTTTCTGAAATAATCACCCTGGAGTCAAGAGATTTCTTTTCGTTCCTTGCACAGCAATATAGAAATGAAAGGCAAGACTGTTAGAAACAGCAGTTCATTGAGTTAGAGTATCTAAGTCTAAAAATCAGAATTGTGAGTCAGGCAGAGTTCACGTAGGAATATTGACATTAAATATGTGCAGTTTCTTAGATCAAAAGCTTTTTTGGGAGATAATTTATTTAACTTCTCATTCGTGCTGTGCGCTAAAATATTATCCTGTGAAACAAAGGTTTGAAACATTTTTTTTAAAGGAGACACTGGCTAAAATCTATAGTGCAGTTATCCCTGCAGAAGTTAAGCAGGATAACTCACAGGAGCTTTTCGCTGCTAATTAATGAGCCTGCTTGGAATTTTGATGTGTGCCAATCCACCAGACTGGCGCACATCTGAAAATGCAAGTGAGAGTTTGTTGATTAATATTAAGAAATTGCTGCAAGTTAAAACTGTTTCTTTTCTTACAGGCATAGCTATGGCATAGGATTTTGGGCACTTCAGTATAGCAGTTAGAATTATGGCATATTTGGATATGTTTACATGATGTAGGATGGGACTGACATCTTCCATGTTTGGGAGAATGTAACCTTGGTATTATTTCCATGAACTAAATTCAAGTTTGAGAGTACCTAGTGTGGTGAAGTGGATAGAGTAATGGACTAGGACTCAGGAGACCTGGGTTCAAATCCCTGCTCCACCATGAATACTCTCTGTGGTGTGGAACTGCCAAAGCCATCCCTTAAATATCTCACTTGCTTTGAAAACCCTGTTAAGGTCTCTATAAATCGGTTCCAACTTGATGGCACATAACAACAACAACAAATTCCAAGTTTAGTCTCAGCTAGAATCTTTCAGTTGGAATCAATGGAGCATACATTGGCATGGCCCAATCACTTCTGTGGGTTTGACTGGATAAAAATTCAGTTTTGCTCTAAGTTGTCAGCATGAATGGAGCTGTATAGAAAAAGTTGCCTAGCAGTGATTGTCGTGGTTTCCATATTCTTTGACTCTAGTAAGCTTTCTACTATTGTGGATCTCTTTTTGTTTCTCAAGATTGCCTAAGAATTTTAAATCCCCTATTTTGCCAAAAAATTTCAACTGGTTTTACAGTGGACTGTTAAAATTTAACCTATTTCTTTCCTATTTTTTTTCTGAAAATAAGTATGTTAGAGTTCCTGAATCTTTGAACAAGCACAGCAAATGTAAGCCTGAATATACAGCCACAGGGTAAACAGGGAGTCAGCAACATGTTTAGGAAGCAACACAAAGCTAATGGGAAAAATAATTGGAAATCTAGAGCACCTTTATTAGTTTCCATGCATTCACACCTCTAATTGTTTTGATATCAGACTTGTCTGCATCACATCTAAACATTATGTAGATTAGGAACCATAAATCATCCTAACTGCTGTATCATTAGCTCCAGAAAAATAATATGTTCTCAAAAGAGGCTCTATTAAAATGTTTCAGGAAGAGATATCAGCCTAGAGATTGCAGTCTTCTATCAATGAAGGGTTTGGTCATCACGGAGTTGTTGTGTGCATGTCCATATTTGCCAGTCAGTTTTGCTTGACCTCTTTCTTGCCCTGTTCCTAGCATGAAGTTCATAATTTGGGTTTCATAGAATATTGGGATGCTTCCGTGATTTAATGTTTGGGTATATCATCAAGAAGCACAAAAGAACAGAACAGAACAGAAAGACATTCTAGCACCTTAAAGACTAACTGCTGTATTTTAATGTGAGCTTTGGTGGAAGACATCTACTTCTTCAGACATAATAGTGAGAATGCAGCGACTACATGTCAAAACATTCATATAGATAAGGGGATGGGGTGTTTGGTAGACTCAAGTTGCATTTCACACCTAGCAACAATTTAGGACCCCCGTTTGGTATTCAGTTCTTTTCTTCTGAAGCTTTATTCTTTAAATAGCAACAATGGTTAGTGATGAAAGGAAAGATCAGCATGTCCTAATGAGATAAGAATTAGTGGGTACATCTTTGAAGCTTGTTTTGCAAAGGGGACTGTGGTTAGTTGGGAAGGAAAATGACAGCAGATACCAACATAATGATTGTGTTTCACATTTGGTAATGGTTAAAGAACCCTTTGCAAATATTTAGTCCATTGAGATGAGTACTCAACATACATATGTATATATTTTGTCTTGGCTGTTTCCCTAAAGATTCTTGTTCTGTAATTTTTTTTCTCTAGAATAGCAACTTTTAAATCCTGTGAAGAGTGTCCTAGTAGATTGAAGTGATTTGAGACACATTTCTTTGTATTGCCGTTCCTGATGTCTGTTTTATGTCCATTAT